ATTCCTTGTCTGTGATGATCGAGAGACAACGAACAAGAAATTTAGGGGGTAGAAATAGAGGGATAATTATCCAATAAGTTCCAAACCTATTGTATAATAGGCAATTCAGTTCTAAACTTTTCAATTATTCTGATTTAGTCCCAAACAATTTAACAATTTGCCAGTTTAGTCCTAACCTTTCTTTGTATCAATTTAGTCATAAAACTTTTAGAGATTTGCCAAATTAGTCATAAACCTATTACTTGGATATTTGGCCGAAGTACATTGGTAAATTGTCAAAAGGTTTAATATTAAATTGGTAAATCATTAAACAGTTTAAGACTAAATTGTCACAATTGAAAGGTTTAAGACTAAATTGATACAATTGAAAGGTTTATGCTGAGTTGACCTCCGTACAATAGGTTTAGGACTTTTTGGACAATTTTTCCTGGAAATACATGAGATGAATCTAAAGACAGATTATCCGTAGCCTCGCATAAGTTAAGCATAGGCGATGGGGAAAATGAATTTGTTTGCAATTAGTTGATTTGGAGTTCGTCCATTCCTTAGCTCCAGTACAATTGAAGAGAAAAATAGCGTAGGAAAAATTTGCCAATTGCCGGTAATTAGCGGTTTAAATGACATGTATGTCGGCACATGGTGTGCGTAGTGCCAAATCTAAGTAGCAATCCGAGCAGTTCTGAATAGCGACAAATTTTCTAAGACTCTTTTCGAGTCATGCGAATGCAACAAAGTTTGCAGCTGTAAAGGAGGAAGATCTAGAAGTTCTCTGCTTCCTTGCTCTTACTTCATGCAAGTCGCCGAGAATAATACTATTCTAGCGTTGATGAAAAGAGTTCGCTACGTAAATGGGACAAGTCGAGCTTACGATTCGGTTATCTCGTCGCACAAAGTGAGGAAAGAAGAAGAAGAAGAAGAAAAGGGCTTTAATGAATACGCATACTCGTGACATTGCAAGTTCATGATCATTCGATAGAAATCGTATGACGAAACATTAATCCTAACCGGCTTAATGAGTGAGAATGTTTATATTACACTAGCTGAATGGGAATACGATAACCTAGACAAAGCTCTGGATACAATTTTTTTTTGTGTGCAAATCTAAGAAACTTGAGACCATTCGTGAACAATTTTAAAAATAGTGAGAACAACCAAAAAGGAGATGGCCTTATTTTAGGATACTTTATATTAATTTTTGGGGTTTCAATTTTTATTTGTTATAGAAGTCATGTGGTATTCTGAAACAGTTTTTGCACATCAGATTAAGTCCATGACTCGAGTACATCTAATGATAGCTCATCCATATCGAGATTAGAGAATTTACAATGAGTTACTTTTTTGAGGTCAGCCCTTTAAGCAATTCTGCCGAATAGAAATCAGATTAAAGACCTCGGCTTCCTGAGTAAACCTCTTGCCAGCTTGTACTTTGGACACTAATTTCTACCTCATGTGGGGAAACTTTCTAATGTCTAATATGTCGATCAGGTTGTAGTGATGAGCTCATACATGTGAACTGAGTAGTTATGATTCAAACTGAGCATTCCATAACGGGTATGAAACCTTAGGATAACACCCAAATGGGATAGCTACGCTAGCTGTCCTTCCCCACTTTTTTACTAATAAAATAAATGGTCAAAGGGAGTGAGGAATCGATCCACATTGAAAACCTTCTAGACATTACTATAAGAGTGACAAAAATGTTCAATTTAATTTATAACTGCTCATTATCATCCGAGACGTAAAAAATTCAAGATTGGCAGGTCTATTACTATGGCTTCACTAACATGTTACTAGTATGTAACTATCTCTCTATACGAGGTAACAACACAAAAGCTCAAGTCAGCCAAAGGTTCGATTATACAGCTACGGAAAATACTTCATGAAAGACAAGTGAGCATGAGATCAAGGAGCCTACCATTCTCTCGGTGGTTATTTACCATAAGGTTCCTACATCTAATATGTGACCACCGACGGCTACCTCCTCTAAAATGCTATCATAAGGTTCCTACATCTGTTTCTGGATGTTTAGTTTAAGCCACAACTACTCCATCCAATTCAGAGCCCGAAGGTCTGATATCGATGAGCTCGTCACCGCCCTTCCGCCGTGCCAAAAGTCAGCAGATCTCTCTATACGAGGAAGCAAATATTCAAGGATACGCTAGTCAAAAGCTCGCTTGCGGAATAACCTAAATTTGCAATCTCATGGAAGACAACGTGACATGATCACCCTTGGACTACCCCATGTTATTCATGCGCTCCTAGTGGCTTAGTGCTCTTGGGTATTGCCCGTGAGAAGCAGAGACAAAAATTTCCACCCGAGGGGGGGGAGGGGGGAAGGTTCCTCGCCAGGTCGCGGCCAACTGTCCTGGCGTACAAAAGCCCGGACACAACTTGAAAACCCGTTGACTTTGAAGCTGTAATGGCACCACGTACTTTGTGTTATTTTATTATCCCCGCACTCTAATGCAAACCATACAATCATCGATTGGTTGTCATTACCACATAATAAACATCGTGTTTTTATATTTCTACTTAATAACGTGGTAGTTCAGTCATCGCTGAGGCACGCCGCCACGTCAGCGACTTCCACCAAGAAATGGCCGGAAGGACTATATTTGGAGTTTCTTGTCAAGGTTTGGGACTGAATTGGCAAAACTGGAAATGTTAGAACTAAATTGGCATATATACAATAGGTTTAGGACCGATCGGACAATTTCCCTAAAAGAATTCGTCTTTGATTCGTCGTGATTATCGGTTACTTTGCATAGGCGGCTTTGTTTCTTCGTTTGACTATTATGAATAGGCAGTTGGATTGAGGAGGTCCTCAAGCATGACTAATCTCCCTAATTGACCAATACTTAATTAAGCAGAGGTCATTATAAGCTACCACCCTTATCTATGTCAGAAATATGTAAACATTGTATATTTCTCTCTCTCACCCAAGGTCCATGCTAGAGACATATTGGAGAGAAGGAAAGAATAATATTCCCAACAACTTAGAGAAAAGTCAAAGCCCAGAGAAAAAAAACTTATAAACCAGGTCGTGTTCACATTTGCATTGAAGCCTAATTACATGGTAATCTCAGAACCGATGACCCGTTGAAGCTTTCTAGAAAAAAAACTCATTCAAGTGGCACTTCCAAAAGTGGTCCAGTATCTTATTATAAAGGGGGTGAAAAATTTAAAGTTTGATGATGGCGTTTTCCCTAATAAAATTAAGCTAGAGGGGGGTCACGCGTGGAATTGGGGCCACAAATGAAATGTTAATCTTATGACAACACCTGCTAATTTAAGGTTTCGAGACATGCTTGATTAAGGTTAATTGAATCCATGTGATGGTTTTTTTGTTTTGTTTGGTCAAAGAAACATTTCATTCATTTCCATGGATATATAATAGAGAGATACGCAGTCCAACTGTAAACCAAAACAACAGAACGAGTTTCAAATAAGAAGATGAGCACACACCGAGATCTCCATCTGTTGCTACGGCTTTGCCTTTCGGCGATGCGCGCCTAGGTTCAGCTTTCCCAGCGCCACCACCGTGCAAAGTGACGATGGCGAAAACCTTCACGAAGCTCCTCTGAATCTACGTGATGGGTTGGCCGGATATTTTATTAGATGTTGCGCATATGGTATTTTTTTTTTTCTTTTACCATGACTAGATCGTATGACCAGTTATGAATTGCACGTGTGTAAAGGCGAGGATTAACTATGGATTTCTTGCATGACCGGTGTGAACATGAGATGTAATTTGATATATTTCATTTAAACTAATGAAAAAGAATTGGGTGATGTTAAAATTCGAGCGTGAGAAGAAGTGGGAACGAGGGTAATTTTATAAGAGAAATAATGTTAAAGAAAGGGAATAATAACTTAAGGGGGGAGAAAGGAAAAGGACACGCTGCCTTCCTCCATTGACCCCTCTTCAAAATCCTCACCACCGTGGACTTTGACCGCTACTTTTCTCTCTGGTTTGGTGGCTGCTGCTGCTGCTGCTGCTCTCCTTCTCTCTTTCTTTGCTTTTGTTGGGGCAGTCTCCAGCCACAGGAGCATGTCAACAAAATAATAAAATAAAAGAATTTTCGGACTCGATTCATCTAAATAGATACGTGCAATAGCATCGATTCGGCGCATCAGGTGAGATGCGTGGCGCCTCCAAAGTTGCTTTGAGCAAGAAATGTCGGATTCAAACACAGGATCTACCATATTTTGACCGAGCACTCGGCCACATTAGGCAATCGTAAAGGTTAAAAGGAAACATTGTGCAAGTTGTTCTGCTTATAGGAGTGATTTTTTTTTTAAATAGCACACATAATGGATCTAATATCAAGTAAAAAGTTAGCGCATATACGGTTAAAATGAGCTCCATAAAAAGGCAATATGCGGTTAAGTTCGCCGTGCAAAGAGCGCATGAAAAGCACAGATAGAGAAATGGGATACAAAAATGAACAAAAGTCTATTCAGCCAATGGAGTACTAAAAGGAGCATAAATACTAAACATTTTGTTTTGGTAAGTTATCAGATGTAATCGAATTTTAATTACACAATATCAATCGAAACAGCGTGTTTGTATCATAATCAAATAAAAGTTTGATAGACTCCGATCATATTTTTGTACCACGATGGACTTTTTCCCCATACAAATTTTAGGATTAGTTCCCACTGGGCATGTCAATCTTTCCAAATTTTGATTAACTTTGATTTAATAGAATTAGTCTCAATAATATTCATCGTGGGGAGCTCTCCCTTTATCTAAAATTTTGCTCTCTTTTTGGGTTTTCTAAGATCCTCGCTCCCGCTTTCTAGCCTCGTGTACTTTTCAACGGTCCTCCACCTCTCAACAAAACCTTGGCTTCGTTCCAAGATGGACCCTGTCATCCTCCTCAACACCTAATCCTTGGAAGCCAGTTGCTGACATAACCTTAATAAAAATTGGCTGCTGAGACTCTCTCTCTCTCTCTCTCTCTCTCTCTCTCTCTCTCTCTCTCTCTCTCTCTCTCCTTATATATATACTTGGGAATACTTTTCAGAAGCAGGACAAGAGGGTAGGGACACCACCATCGAGATGGCCTGAAAGGAGGAAGAAACCAGAGGGAGAGAGGAGAGAAGTGATCTGAGCCATATAAAAGGATCTACATGCATGCAACATCAGTCCCCCTCTCTCTCTATCTCTCCACTTCATCATCACCATCTTCATCGTCTCCAGCTCCATCTTCCCATCTCATGGACTCGGCGTTCCTCCTTGATGGAGATGCTCGATCCAACCTCCTCCACCTCATTGCCCAGTCGTTTGGTTGCAGATACATCTGTCTCTGGTCTTACTTATCTCCCAATAGGTGCTCTCTCTCTGTCTCTCTCTCGCTAATGGTGTTTAATTAGTACTTTCTCGGTGTTTGTGTCAGCTGATGATCTTGTCTTTTTCTGCAGCTGTTTGTGCTACTTGGATGGTCTCTTCGAGGAAGCTGCGATTGGGGGTAATGGAAACAACATTCAACCCAGGAGACTTTTTGACGAGTATAGGCAGTCTCTGTTCATCCTTCGTCAGAACAGGTACTGCATGATCTGAACTATACATCTCTAGCATTCAAAGAGAAACGGATTAAAAGATTACGATTTTGGAGTTTACCCAATTTAAGATTTTGTCTATTTTTTACGTTTTTCCACTCTATAATTTGCAGCAGCCACACCCAAGTCCCAGGATTGGCCTTCAGGAACAGCAGCCCCTACCTTGAATTCAGAGAGGAAGACCTTTCAAGATTGGCCTCCAACTCTTGTCAAAGACAATTCTATCAAGTAATGCTACACATACCCATCTCATAATTCTCATTCTTGATGCTTAATCTAATGTTTCTGCATCGTCTTACTGACTCAAAGGTGCTAATTTTCTGTCTTTCTTTTGGTTGTAGGAAGCAAGCATCAAGGTAGGTATATGCAACAAAAAATGTGCTTTTTGATGGGCACACATGCAGTTTTTTTCCTAGAAAATCCTGCAGATCCTGATGTTGCTTAAATCTTTCTCAAGGTTGCAGTATTCATGGGATGCAGGAGTGGAGAGATTGAGCTAGGCTTCTCCAACATACCTCAGGTACATAAATTCACGACGATGTTTTATGCAAATTAAGAAAACTAAGAAATCGGCATAATTAATCTCAGAATTGATGGTTTTAGCAGGTTGACTTAGAAATGCAGATGATGAACTTGTTCCCAGAGGATTTCTCGAGACAAATAGCGATGCGCGAATTGGCCCAAGCGACTGAACCGAACACTACCGCTATGACGAATCCTCCTTCGTCTTCCTCGTCGTCTCTAAGATCGCTCTCCATGGACAGCCCCGAATACTCTTCTCTTCTCTTCAGCATACCCACCACTACCACAAGTTCCTTCATTAACCCGGAATTAGCCCTCAGAGACCCTCCAATTGTAGAGAATATTACCACACAGCCGTTGCCACTTATAACCACCACCGATACTCCTGGTTCTAGTACAACTGGTACTAGTCCTCACCCATTGCAAGCCATGCAAGGCTTCGCAAGATCGCTCGGGAACATTCAGTTCCCGATTGTTCCTGAGAGCGAACACGCCGCTATGACGAGAGCCTTCCTTGCAGTTCTATCATCGCCTTCTTCATCTACTTCTTCGTCACAACTACAGCAACAACAAATGAATGTCGAAAATCCGAGACCGACCGCGTTCAGGAGGTATACGCCGGCGTTGCTTCCGAGACCGCAGAGCAAGCACGGCCTTCAGAAGCACAGCATGCTCAAGCGGGCAATCTCGTACTGTCGGAGCATGAACTTGCTGCGGATCCGCGACCGGTTGCAAGGCGGGAGCCGACCACCGTCGACCACTCAGCTCCACCATATGATGTCGGAGAGGAAGCGGCGCGAGAAGCTCAACGAGAGCTTCGTCGCATTGAGATCGCTTCTTCCTCCTGGAACCAAGGTATGGAATTCGTTTTGAGACTCTAATTTTTCAGAATAAATGAACATGAGTTTTCCCACTTTTGGCATCTATCTAAGAGGTTGTGACTTGAACCAGTTTAGGTTTTGATATTTCATGTCGTCTTGTATATCTTGAACTGATTATAAGGGACGCATTATAAGGACCGAACCTTTACAATTTCAAAGGCAATGAGTAACCTTATGTATCTCATCATGTCGTGTAATTGTTTGTTCAATGATCAGCTTATAATGTCGAGTGCAATTCAAGATGCATTCCTCCTCATAGATCTATGTCCATCACATTGTGCAGAAAGACAAAGCATCCTTGCTCGCGACCACGAGGGAGTACCTCGGCTCGTTGAAGGAACAAGTCGAGGATCTCCGTCGGAAGAACGCCATTCTCGAAGCCCAACTCCTGCCGCCGACTGAACCCACGGGCGGCGGCGGGGAGCCGAGCGGGCCGCCGAGCGACCGCTCCAGGGTCGACGTTCGAACGAGGACCGTCTCGGAGTCGACGTCGCAAGACCGGACCGTGGATCTGCAGGTGACCGTGAGGGGAGACTGCTCGGCATTGAATCTGGTGATCCGAATCCTCGAGTTCTTGAGGCAAGTGAGGAACGTGAGCCTGATGTCCATGGAATCCGACACCCAAGTCCACGAATCGAACATCGTCAATCGGGTCAACTTGAGACTAAACGTTGAGGTAAAACAATGATGCGAAGCTTCCGATATAGAGTTTTAAATTGTAGATAGTGTTTTTTTCTTAATTAGCGGTAATACCTTACGGACATATTCTTACCATGAGACGTTTTCGAATACTTTTACTCGCCAAAGAAACAACGTAATCGATTTTTCCTTTCATTATATATGTGGAGTTAGCTATCGCTCGTGATCATATCATCCACCTCTAAAACGGGTCTACATATGATATATACTTATACAAATTACAATTCTATATGTCGTTTTTATGCCACGATTTTATGAGTTTGATCAGAATGTTGGTTTACAATGCAACAATGTCCATATGGGTGTACATGATTTTCATCGACCAATAATATCACTTAAGATTTCAAAAAGAAAAATCACGTGAAATCCACGAATTTTACGAGCTGGATATGTCCTAAAAAATGGAATAAATTAAATGAACCGTTTCATTCCCTTTCACTGTCTTGCACCAGATAGAAATGTGTTATGTTGAAATGAACAAGGATTAATAATTACGAATTCAAATTCTTTCTTTTTTTTATATATATGTTTAGGTCAATCTTTGATTTGATATTTTTATTTTTAATGATAGTAATTCGAAAATCTGGTCCATCATGCATTATTGTAGGGAGGCGAATGGGACGAGGCGGGCTTCCAGGAAGCGGTGAGGAGGGTGGTTGCTGACCTGGCACAATGACCATTCTCCCTCCGCCGTCGGATTCGATCCGATCTGAGCTTTTTTTTTTTCCAAAGGAGGAGTAGGAAGTAGTTACACCGTGCGGCGGCACACCCACGGTATTTGACACTGCCAGCCCCATCTCCGCCGCTCATCAAGTCGGCCGCTGCTCAATCTCGGCCGTCCATTTTTGCTCACTTCAAAATTGATCAACGCAAGATTTCGTGATTCTCCTCTTCTTTCTCCTTTCTTCCTTTGTCAAGCGTTTCTAGTGCTTACTAGTGGAGTGCCGCCCTTCTGATTTTGTAGCCATAATATAGTTTTTTCTTTTTGTGGGTAATATAGTCAATAGATAATCAATTTTTAATTATTTTTTCTTTTCTACGAGCGACTACTGCATCAATCATACATCAATCATACATCAATCACACGTCAATAAACGAATACAATTTCCCCAATTTCGCGATGATCGATCACCCATTATGTTGCCCGAGATTTTTCCCTTGCCACGATTTCCCGTTCCGATTTGCTATTCAGTGGCAACCGTCGCCTGATTTCTCCCTACTGTATAAAGACTAAATCGGCATCTCCTATCCGATCGCACAGATACGATCCGTATCATCTCGCTTCAACGGCATGGGATCTGGGTCAAAGCGGAACCGCGCGAAAAGTCCAAAAAAAAATTTCGCGTCGTCACGGCAATTCTCCATGCGTTGCCAAGTGGCAAAAAGCGAAATGTCATCATTTCTGTTGGGAACAGTGGCTCGGATTTAGCCGTCGGGAGACCCGGAAAAAAAAAAGAGAAAAATAAAAAGAGAGAGAGAGAGAGAAAATGCGCAAAAAAAAAAAAGGAAGGAATTTTTCAAAACCCCATCATATGTCGCCCAAATTGACTGCAAACTTGGATGAGAGGAGACTAACAATGGATGTGAGAGCACCAAACCCATGGACAAAACAATCCAAACCAAAATGATCGATGGAGATGTGTGTACCGTGCGCTGTTCAAAAGCCTGGTCAAACGGTCAAAGGGGTGGAAAAACTTACAAATCTGAAACCACGCTTCTTCCCTCTTCTTCGAGTGGGGGCCCACCGGATACTGGATTATGACGTCAGCAGCTCGCATGGGGGGGCCGCTCCCGGGAATCGGATTCCCATGGATTGGACCCCGTGACGTGGCGCCCGTCTGAGCCGGGGAATTCAAAAGCTTTTTTTTTTTTTTTCCGGGGAGGAGTCGCTTTTATTCCCTGCTTTCTGCATACAAATCAAAGGGACTTTTAGACGGCGCTATTGACCGGACCCCCCGAGGAACGGAAAAACAGCAGCAATCCCACTCCGACCCGACGTCCATCGCTGGTCCACTCGTGTTCGAGCACAGGCTCTAGGGTTTTTGACTTGCGGCGTCGTCACGTCGAACGATGCACGAAAATGTCCCCGATGGAGAGAGATCGCACGCGTACGAAACGAATTGGGGGAGCTATAAACTAGAGCGGGAGCTCGACTCCGATGCCAGGTCGGGATGTCCAATCCAAAAATTTTAATTGATAGATCGAGAGAGGCCGTGCGTATGTAAAGAGCGTGCAAATCCCGTGGTCAAGCGACGTGTGATGTTTTCAAATGTATGATGTATAGTCCACTTGGTCCTAAGCATGACCTTAAAAGGCCGTATTCCCTCCCGGTGGGGAGGACAAAGATATGTCGGGAACATGGGAGTTTCTAGGTAGGGAAGGTAGACCCTACGTTAGCGAAAGCTGGCTACCTCCGGGTAGACAGATATAGTAGCCTCTCGCACCTGGGGTGACAAAGAGGAGCTTGCTCCGGCAGACTCAACCGCTAACGCGATTTAACCTGCTAGGTTGAGAACCGGCTCCCCCGCCATATTATAACGTTCAGTCCAAAAATTTAAATTAATAGATCGAGGGAAGCCGTGCGTATATGAAAAGTGTGTAAATCTCGTGGCCAAGCGACGTGAGATATTTTCAAATGTATGATATATAGTTAGTAGGGGTAAGCAAAATAACCGGACCGAACCGGTCGGTTCTGGGCTGTTTTTGGTTCCAATTATTGGAACTGATGAATACGATCTAGTTCCCAGTTCTGAGGGTAGACCTATCCACCCGGACCGATATATATTTTTCTAATTTTATGTTTCAAATCCCTAAGAGAGTTCCTTCGGCCTTCCCTAATCCCTAATGCCTTCACTCTCCTCTCAGGCACTCACGAGTCATGCAGTCACGCTCTCTCTCGTAGGCTTGCAGCTCGGCACTCGGAGCCTCGCTCAAGATGCTCGTCCTCCCTCTTTTGTAAGTTCAAAACCCTAATTGTCATTTGCTCCTTTTTCTAGTTTCTTCACTCAAGTATCCCGCCTCTATCTCGCAACTCGCTCTTGCAGCCTCGCTCGCTCACGGCACTTGTCATTGTTATGGGTGACTCCATCATGCGGCCAAGAGATGTTACAACTACATCCTTAGCCTGACAAAGTAAATATGAGTTGTAAGAATCTTGAAATATATGTGGTCATATGTCTTGAGAACTCTCAGGACCACATATGATGTTGTGCAATGGCCAATTGCATGGACTCACCGAAAACTAGACCGTACTGGTGGTTCGATTCCGGAGTAGGTTTAGAAATCGGTGAATGGTTCTCAATTACAAAGTAGAAACTGGCCTACTCTGGAACCTGTCACCCTTAATAATTAATAATATGTGCTTTTGTGTGTGTGTGAACGACTACATCAACTTAGGAAAACTCCATCGACGTATAGAAAAAGAAAAACGCTTATGTAGGAAGACAACAAATGGAGAGAGTTCATTGATTGAAAAATAAAATAAAATAAAAAAACCTCAGCGATGATCCATCTAGTTTTATCTTTCTTTTTGTGTTATAATAAGATAATATTAAGTACAACATCAAATCACATTTTCATGTACCAAACTAAATCATCGTTTTCTGAGGGATAGGTTAGAATTAGTCATTCACGTGTGCCTTGGAGATTAATGGGGAAATCACATCCTCGTGACCGGATTCCAAAAAGTAACTTCATTCAGATTCACATTTCAATTATCATCTCGTGGTCGGGATTGACCTATCATGTCCATCTTACATATCGCATTTTGCTAAATACTAAAGTTAGGTCCGCATTTTAACCCAGGGAAAATTATTAAAAACAGTCTTAAATTTATTATACTTTTGCCAATTCAACCCTAAACCTTTTAATTGTGTCATAAACCTTTTTATGTTATGCTAATTTTGGCCAAAAATCGATGACCTGGGCTTATATGGTAGCCTTGCCCAGATTTAGGTGAGGTCGGGCAAGGGCATTCCAGCCATGGCTGGCCACAGTAAAAAAAAAAAAGGAAGGAAAAGAGAAGAAAGAAAAAAAAAATATCAAAATAAAAAATAGAAAAATTATCAAAAAAACTGTCTGAGTAGGACGTTCGACGTCCATGTCAACGATTTTAGGTCAAAATTAGCTAAATGTGCTCAATTGGCAAAACATAAAAAAAGGTTTAGGATTCAATTGATAAAACGTAAAAAAGGTTTAGGATTCAATTAGCACAATTAAAAAGTTTAAGATCGAATTTGCAAAAAATGCAATAATTTCGGGACCTTTTTGATAATTTTCTCGTTTGACCCAATATGGGAAACTGTAAAATAGTTATATCCGAACATAGAGACAAAATTTTGTGCAAAACATCGGTCTAGAAGTAAAAGTCCAAAAAATTGACCCAACACATTGCACTTTCAAGGAACTTGCATAACAAATCAAACAGGAAACCGTCTAATCAGTGCTCAACTTATTGTACAAATCTAAATTTAGTTTTAAACTTTTTAGTTTTATTAATTTAATTCTAAATATTTTCTCAAAGTTTTAATGTAGTCCTTTCGATCAGTTTTTATCGAAAATTGCTCGACGTGACAATGTATTACGTAGGACAACCAACGATGCTTTGTGTGTATAAATACATACATACATACATACATATACATATACATATACATATACATATACATATATATTAAAAAGCTTTCTTTTTCCTTGTTCAAAGGCAAACTATCAAAAGGCTGGTGGATCCCACTTCTAGAAATTCAATTGCGACACCCACTTTGGTTTTGCTTTTTTTTTTTGTCGCCTCTTTTCTACTTTTCTTCCGTCTATAGTCAACATATCCACATCATGAATTGACAAAGTGAAAAAGAAAAATGATTGTGGGAAGAAAATTAAGAGCAGCTCCAAGATGAGGTTTCCCAGAAGCTCACTTTACTCAGCAAAAATTTGCTGTCTTTGCCCGGTTTCGAGGAAGCATGCGATGTCAATTCCGATGGAGAACGCACAGTTTTTATTGACCCCTCGTGTATCCATAGCTTACAAAAGAAAATAAAAGGAATTCGAGACAACTTAGGCAAACGGCCGCAACGCTTACTAGGCTAGTGGAGGTTGAGTTTGACCATGTCACTCTCAGTCAAATTTCCAATCATTAGTAAAATTAAGTAATTATAAATTTGGACGTCTTCGATTATGTGATAATTTAGGAGGCCAAGTCCAACATTAATTGCATATGCTATGTTGAGAGCAAGTGAAGGAGGTTCATGTTACTAATCAAAAAAAAGAAGAAAAAAGGAGGTTCATGTTGCACAATCTTTTAGGATTTTGTGCTCAATTTAATATGTATGAAATGATCTTTCTATCTTACTTAGTATCGGATTTTTGGGTTCAATCTCAAATTATCACATGATGTCAGATCTTCTATGAAATGGGTTTCAATCAGCATAAAAATCCAAGGATAATTACCAAAAAAGCTCTAAACCTATTATACGTATACCAATTCAATCCCGAACTTTCTAATTTTGCCAATTTAATCCTAAACATTTGCACAAAATTTCAATATAGTCATTCCGGTCAATTTTCGCCGGGAATCGCTTACCTGGCAATCTGGTCTTTGAAATTCCGCTCAAAGGTTTAGAACTTAATTGGCAAAATCGAAAAATTTATGAATGAATTGACATCCGTACAACAGGTTTATGACCGATTGGACAATTTCCCCCATAAAAACCGGACATGTATGTCGATGTTTTTGGAGCATGGTTGAACTATATGTGTATTATCCTCTTCAGCTTATTGACGTTAATCACTCCGCCAAATCACTAACATCGACTGTTCATGCGATGAACGTTTGACAGGAATAGAGGTATTATCATACCCAGAAATTCAGGCTTCACTGTCGTCAAACGAAAAAGCTGATGTATGCTGGGTGTAGAGCGCAATTACGTAATTGACATTGAACTTGAACTGGTGACCAGCTTTGAGTCTTGACAAGTATGTATGTG